CGTTATCTCAGGAGCCGCTTGAGCCGAACGACAGAGACATTTGCAAGAAAGCAGAGTAGCCATAAACACGCCTTGACGGTATGACTTGATGTCATGGTGAATAGTTGACCGAGCAGGTTTCTACTCGAGATGGTGTCAACGGTCGTAATAACACACTACTCATCTATCATAACTTACATAGTATGGTTGTGCAACGGGATACTTAATGGGGAAGGTGATCACTGGAATGTTTCAAGAAACAAAGAAACTACGTATAAATATTTCCATTGAAATGAGCAAGAAAAGGTTACTCCGAACTTGATATTCCATATGTGTAGGTTCAAGTGCCTTGCTCGGACGCATGTGTCTGCTTGAGGCCGCGCGTCAATAAAAGAAGACATGATTTAAATGAATGCATGTGATTGGGGGCGACGATAAATTGCTGCGCCCCCCACCCCCCACAAAGCGTATCCTCTAGTGTTCCTACCTCTGGGGCCAGCTCAGTTAGGCCTGAGGGGCCAAAGCTTGTCGTTTTCCTTTTTTCGGGCCGGATTTCAGGCCGGAGATACTCTTATCAGCTGGTGCAAGGCCACGAGACAATGTTGGACTCCATAGACCTCAACAAGAGCTGCAGTGGGTCCAAACATTTGAAGTCTGGACGTAACCAAAATGCACCAAACCCCATACCAACTGGTAGATAAGAGACGGAGACTTTGTACAATTGCGTGATTAATTATACAACTTTATATTATCATGCGAGTAACGCATTGATACTGCGACTTTGGCCTCCGGAAAACGAAGGGGCTGAACAGCAAAATACAGTGAATAAATTTCCTCCGAAGATTGAACGAAATTGTGGAGATCCACGAGTTAAAAGATCACAATTTCCATCGGTTACCCGGTTTCAGCTTTACTTAAATCTCATGCCCACAGTAATCATCTTCTCTGCTAGAAATTATATGATCAATCTTGGGGCTTCGCCCGGTGTGTAATATGAGGGCTTCATGTATCTGTTGATGACGAGCACGTCTTCATATAGATAATGAATATTCAAGAAAGGGATGGTCTCTACATACAATATGTAGCGCGAGGGAACAACATCTACATATCCAACTTACTCGCGTCCAGTCAGCTTACGCGTAAGACCCACTACCTCTGAAGATAAGGACTGGTGGGGTGAAAACTACCAAGTTGCCATTTTACGCACTTTCATTCCACACAAAGAGTTTAAATGGGACATCAAGAGCAATTCCCGAGTTAAATTTGTACGTGCAATCTTGAGTACAATCCATTGCGAGATATTTTTGAGCCTGTATCTTGTTGATGTTGATATCTGTCACTCATACATATAGTTACAACCAAAGTCCTTGTCATTATCATTGACATAGTCTTGCTTGATATGTTTGATCTAATCACTGCATTCGCAATATTCGCCCTTGTGATAGGGGGACGAGCAGTCTTAAGTTCGCAAAGATCCGTTGGTTTCACTAGAGGACAGAAGATTGCTTCTTTCTTTTCTCTTATCCTCTATCTCTGTGGTGCTAGTCTTCTTGTGTGGGCACTTCTATGGCGAGGTATAGTGATTCAACTATTCTCTCCATATCTGGCTCGACGACTCATTTTGTGGCAGGTCTCATATGCTTAAAGCATGAACATTTGGGACATGTCTTGGCGCAGATCAAGAAGCTCTGTACTGGCCTAGGTAGGGCATCTAGTATTCTTTTACTGGTTTCTGCAGGCCTCTTTCTTCTCGGGCTTTGCTTGAAAGTAGCAGTATTATGAAGCGAAGTACTGTGACTGCCTTCCGCCATGATAAGGATTACCTATTGATTTTGCCACAGGTCGCATACCCCGGAAGGTATCAGACGGCCACCAACCGGTCAGGGGCTTTAGTGACAACCAACAAATGGATTCGATGTTCATTTACAGATGAACATAAGATATGGAGATATGGGCACCGGGTTGTAGCGGAATTGCGGTTTTCTTGAATATAGGCAAATAAACGCGGAAATATACTCTATCGTAATAGACTTGAAGTAAAGTTCTGATATTCTGGATAATGCAAAATTATGGAAGCAATGATGTCCAACGCCGCTGTCCCGGTCGAGTTGGGATAGACCGTCAGCTCGGCAGCCAACTGCTAGGCTAGTAAGAATAGTTAAGCCCCCAGCGAGAAGATAAAAGTCCGAAAGGCACTATCGAAATGTTGTTAAATCAGTGCCATTCCTTTGGCCCAAAGATCTCACCCTCGGTTACTATCAAGTATCTGCAATCTTGAACGTCGCATGTTGACCTGCTGGTGCCCTCTGGCCATTGCCATGGTTCTTTGGGAGAAAGATTTTGCCCGGGAGCCTCCTCTGATACTCTCCCCCGATTGTTATAAGTATGTATCCAGCATAGCAACGATCCCGAGTAATAATCAGGAAACACTCTTGCACAATATTTGGTTAACAAAGTCTGACAGTGCTTGCTGGTGTTCTCTGGGCGTATACCAACCTTTCCATGTTTCGGCAACCTTCATGCTGGCGTGTGTCTTCAGTGTTTGGGTAAATTGCCGGCATCCAGACTGGCGGAACAAGTATTCATTTGTTCTTGAGGCTTCTTTGAATACTGGCTTTGCAATGGCCAGTCTTGTACAGTTTTTGCCATCACAAGCGCGAATGTCATGGTAGGCAAAGACTCTTCATAGTCCTTTCATAGTACTAACGGGTAAATGGTGTTGCCAGGCATTGCATGATGAGATTTTGGGAGTATTAAATTCCTAGGAAAACTGAGTCACTTCCCAGGATCACTTGAACCGATTGATTGATTGATTGATTGATTCATAGTCCATCCCAGCAGCCCTCGTGGCAGCTATGCGGCATGTATAACTAACAATACAGATATTCCTGATTCTTGCATCCAAAAATTAAACTATTCCTCTCACCAATTGCTTCCTCCATCTCTTCCCAGCAGTTGCACCCTCACGTATTCATAATTCTAGTAACCATTCTATATCTTTGACTTCTCAGGTGTTTCCTGGCCCTCCTCTGCTTTGTTTTCACAGTAATCACTCGTCTGCAGTAAATTGAGCACTGTAGATGGTGCGATAATTTGATAGAAAAGCGGGGCTTTTGTATTTAGGACCGTCAGGATGATGTACGCAGACGGTTATATATATTGTGAGATTATTAGTAGTTACTATAGTCTGTTGTAGTAGATGTAAAATAATACTTACTTATTTTTAGATTATTGATCTTTTAAGAGCCAGCCTATTCTATAAATGTAGATTATCCTTATTACTAAATGTTGAGCTCTAGTACTAGGCTTATCATACATCATGTGATATGGTATGATGTACTATTATCCACAACGTTCCAGTATCTAAATATTGCCTGTAATTTATTGCATTGATACTTCTTCACAAGCAGATAGTATCATGTCAGAAGGTCTGGCTGTCTATGAAGATTACATGGAAATTCTTGTTCTCTTGCGACTTCCATTATATTACATTGATCCCTCATTCAGTAGACTGCCATGATTCCTCCCGTTCACTCTACCTCAGATGTCCCTTGTTAAGGATGGGCATGCCCGCCCAATCGGTACAGCGGTGACACTGCGACGTCTACCCATTGTATGGGCTGTGGCACCGCGAACCAGATCGATGACATGTGTTACTGACCCGGCGTTTCGAGATAGAAGAACAATTCTGAAGACCGTTGTCAACCGAGAAGTTATGCCAGGAAAAGGTCTGGCAAAAAGGAGGAATTTTAACCGCAGTGGTTTCATATAAGCACATATGTGTGACAGGCCGCAAACAGGCCAGTAGATGCATAAAGGCTGGCCAGTTGTGATTTCCGCAAATGGTCAGGTTGAAGTCCAGATAGTTCACCCAAGTAAGTGAGAACTTCCAGATCGCACTTCTCCTCAACCACTGTCAGAGAGGTTTCGGCATGGTAATTGACCCATTTCTTATGGCTAAAATTGATTCCCGTCTTCCGAACCAGCAATACGACCTACAATTACGGATTGCCTTCGCAGCGAGGAGAAGTCCGTATTCAAAGTACAGATTACCGAAAGGCAGTGGTTAATTGCTCTGAATGGAAAGAGATATTCCCCTTCCTTAAGAAAAAAGAAAAAAGGCTTGCAACGGCGTCCCCTGAACCCCCTCATACATAATTTCCATGGTTGTAATCCTCGTAAAGCTGGGATTGAAAGTTCTCCATGTTGATGAAAATATCTGCGGCGTCATGAAAACCAAGCGAGGATGCAGCCTCTAACAGGTGATACTCTCCTTCAATATCGCAACCCAGAAATATCATGACAATGTCCCCTAGGATGACCTCCTTCTATAGCCTTCCCAAGGACACTGACACCTCGCAAGGGAACGTCAATGCCCCGAGCAACGAGGAAGCTGCATGCAGTCTCATGACCGCAGTTCGCTGCGAACCGGAGCGGAGAACTCCCGTCTTGGTTAGCTGCGTTGATATCGTAGGCTTGCTCAGCTGCGGCCTTTAACACGCCGGGGTTACCCTGGCTCGTTTTACAGGAAATATCCACCATAGTACTTCCGAATTGGCCGTTGTTCTGTTTTCACTGTATAAGAAACCAAACCAAGAATAGTGGCGAAACTAAAGTGAGGCAAGAAGATTAAACCAGAACCACAAGTTGAGATTGATATGAGCTCCGCCAAAACCATTTCCTCATCTTATTACGAAGGGGAAATATCAACACAAAATATGAGATTGGGCTTTTACTTTACAGAAACCCCTTTCTATTATTCCCTAGAAAGTCAATTTACCCCAATTCCAGGTATACAGACACGTTTGAACTAAGACCGTGTATTTCATACCACAAAACCGCGGTTTCTGGGCGGTGAGTGATATCCTATCCCTGGATTCTTATTATCATAATCGACGAAGGATCAAGACGTATAAAGTTCATGGCGGAGGGCCAATCGGCGACGACCGTGCAGGAATGATTTGTCATGTTGAGTAATCAAATTCTGAGCCGAGGCTGTCTCATTGTTAAACCACGGTAAGGTAGTTTTGTGTGACTGGCACAAGGCGGCTAAGAAGCGTCAGGGGCAATTTCGAGGTCAAGAAGCGCCAAGACGGTACTGTGTTCTTTCAATAATCTTTGTTCAAGATAATTTCTATTGTCATATTCATGATAAAGTTATACAACAATCCACCACTCGAATTACAGTGTTCTCAAAAAAAGGGTCAACAAAACGATAAGACCTCGACAATTGCATGAAAGGTTTCAGTGTAGCGACGCTGCACCTTACAGCATCTCAATATTACGACTTAATGGCCCAGACATGCCGTAGCTCAACATATCCTATGTTGAATAAACCAACTGAAGATTCTGTTGCAGCCTCATTACTATAACCTAAACAAAGACGAAGTACACTAGATGTTCACTTGAAATATATATCTTCTCGTACTGCCTTCCAATGAAATGTATGTCGAACATCTATTTACTGAATGTTTTCGAGATTGCTCGATGCCATGTACGTGCGTGTGCACAGATCAGGGTAACGTTTTTATGTTCGGACTATAGACCAGAAAGTATAGTACTGGATTAGCCCGTTCATTACGTTATTTTATGTACACTATGTGATCAAAAGTCTCGGGACACTCAAAATTTCCCGGAATTCCAATCATGATAAACTTCTAGATAGATGACAGATATGTCTATAGTTACTAAATAAATATGAGTAATTATTATTTCTGTAAAGTGTATTGATTATTTACAGAATATCTCAAGTGTCTGAGGAACAACAATCTATAATAAACCAACTTCTTTGTTGTATGTTATGAAGCATATAGAATATACATTTTCATTACTTTAGCTTAATCGTGATCAATACAGTTTCACCTAGAAATGATACAAAAATTATCTTGGTCGAGTAAGAATTATAAAGTATTTAATATTGATAATAACTATCCGTTTTTCAAGATATTATACTATATATATTTGCTGAGATGATTGTGTACGAATAACGTAACCCACAGTTAAACGGCCCACACGGTTAGGCGGCCCAGCTGGTAATACTATATAAAAGATCCTTTTTGAATATAAGATATCTCAACCATTAGAAGTCAAAGAAAAATGAATTTTGATATTTAAATTTTAAATAATATAAAGAATCCTTAGCTATGTTCTAAAGATCTTATAAATATATATAATAGATTATCATAATACAATACCCTTATTTTATATGTATTATATAAAATAAGATCTATTGATATAAATAAAAAATTTTAGAAATCTGAAAAATGTATAGAATATATATTCTTATATATATAATCTATCTATAATATTAGAACCACTCAAATACAGTATTCGCTGAGATATAATAGATTTAAAAAAGTATCTTTTATATGGAATAGTAGGATGGGCCGCCTAACCGTGTGGGCCGTTTAACCGTGGGTTACGTTAACTACGATGAGTTTTGGTGTGTCAGCAGGATGTCCCGAGACTTCTGAACACATTGAACATTAGCTGTTGTTTCGAAGCATCCCGAGGCAGTCTCAACTGTGGGTTTCTTGAATTGGCCCCCTGACTATCAGGACGATAGAACTTCGATGATTCGACAATGAGCCGTAATCAAAGAGTCTAGCTTTTTGATCAATACTTCATCCACCACTTAGGGCTGTTTTGACGTGAGTAGACTTTGTTTATTAATCATGCCGCCATGCGACTACAAAACTTCCCGCGCCGAATCCGGATACGCCCAACCCGTTACATATGAGCTGGACTCTATCATTTGGGAACGTCTGATTGGGCAGAATGAGCCGATGCACAGCACTTCCGAGTCCCAACAATGTGAGCGCCACTATAATCAGACTCTCAACAGCCGCTAAAGTTCGAGACACCGCTTGCTTAGGCTTTTCTCAACCATGCTAACTATATTATATTCTCTTCTACTAAAAGAGTTATTCGGCTCCTAATCTGACCAACGTTCAGCTCTCTTGTCAGACCACATGCAAATATTTCTACAGCCTCAACTGAGCAAAGAAAAAAGAAAAATCAGAAACGTGCAACGCAAAAGTTGAGACTTTAGCAATGGCGTCGGCCAAGGAATCCAAGACACAGCATTCTACAGAAACCTCTACGGACCTTTGCTACCAGGGAAGTTGTCATTGCAGGGCTGTACGCTTCTCCGCAAGGTTTCCGTCGCCGCTGTCGCAATTAACTGTGATCTCCTGCAATTGTATGTATATGACTACAAGTCGAACACAGCAAGTCTATAACTGTCCTTCTCTGCGGAATAATTATAGGTTTCAAACAGAATTAGTTGCTAAACTAACAACTCTATCCAGGCAGCTATTGTCACATTGCAGGCAGTTTGCTGGCTTTTGCGGATGATATGGAGGTTCAAGGAACAGAATCACTGACGGTATGAGTCAATTAGCTTAATAACTCTTTTTATTATGCTTTGTTATACCTAATATATTACGACCTACTGAGATGAATGGCCCATATACAGGAATATCGTTTCGCCACGCACACTATACGGATCTTTTTCTGTAAAATTTGCGGGGCTAATGTGTACAACAAGTCGATCAATCCACATTTCCAGTATGGTAAATGTGCTATTAATGTGAGTGAATTTCTAGCGGTTGCTCATAGCCCATCACTTTTGTCTACAGTCTATGCCTGTTTACCATGTTTGAGGATTGCAGAAGAGCTAACAGAGATACCGGGATTCCAATCCAGGTGCGCCTACTGCATGGAATTGACTTGGAGACCATAGAAGTGACAAAGGGTGATGGTAAGAATTTTCGTCTGCCGCCTTTAGAAGATAATTCCCTGTAGTCCTCAGGGCGCAGGCACCGTGATTTATGCGAGACTCGTGAGCGCCCAAGTCATGCTCTAGCGCAGATTACATGTCAGATACCTAGTCAGAAAATGCACGAAACATCTTCTATGCCCAATGGTTTCCTGTCTTAGATATTGCAGATATATATCCAGTGTTTCTGCAAAGGAGACATAATTTGTGATCTTAGTTCTCTGGGCCTGCAGTGCAACCGAAATAGAATAACTAGTACTGTAGACTATGGGCAACCAGCCGCCCAAGGCGAGGGCCTTTTGAGTCTGAGTATGCTTCCAATCGACCATAGTCACCTAGTATGACCTTACAGGTTAAAGAAGATTTTGATATTTATCTTCTGTACTGAAGTAGTCTACGTGTCTGAAGCAATTGGGTGGTTTTCTTCTGCTTCAGTGAATGGTAAAGATGAATATGAGCATCACGTATCAGTTCCTTTTGGGACTGGTTTGATATTATTTTTGACGAGTTGGTTAGAAGGAGCTTCTAGAGCTAGAGGGCTGAATTTTATTGCAGAGCTGTTCCAATTGTTTACTAGTGAATGACAAATAACTTTCTGCAAACTCAAAGTCAGGATAGAGATGCTCCAATTTTGCGAGATTGATGGATGATGGTAAATGAGAGAATGAGCTGGCCTACTAGCTAAAACAGATCTTAGCTCAGAATACTGTTCATATTTGGTGATGATTCTACATTGCCAATAGAATGCGTCTAATGGGTGAGCCTATTTAGTTAATGAGCCACCTGACACGAGATACAGAGGTCTTTTGGGACGAATCGGGCAAGGAAAATGAGGGCAAGATAACTAACTATCGAGAGAACATAGTTACTAAGCCACCTGGAGCACGGATAGTACTGCGGCCAGCCAAGGATACCCGAATTCCTTCGACCCACATGACAGTTCAAGTTAGTACCCTCCATAGTGCCGTCGACTTTAGTTAAGGTGACATCGTGTTTGTACTAACGAGTACTATTTAAAGCCGGACTCATTCCTGCTCGTCCATTTCACAATCGGCGAAAGCCTGAAAATAGACCAGCAAATTGGCTCTTACATCAAATTTCCATCCAAGGATAGGCAGTGTGTACCCAAATCCCCCTCTCCCCCTCCCTCTCTATTACCCATCCTCACCTTGTTATTCGAACCGGACTGTCCGTCAAGATCAGACACTTACACCCATGCCCAAGCCCTAAAACACCATGTATTCAGCTCAAGATTGAACTCTGTCCGATTTTACAGTATACTCTCAGTCGATCAACACACGACGATGACCCAAGGCCTTTTGTCTTCATATGGTCTCCCGTTGATGACGGGTATAGTGAAGATGGATTCATGCTTCTACGACATACCTCAGAGGGTAAGCTGGAAAGGGTACCTGTACCAGATGCGACCCTAGATCCTCTAGATATGGTGCACGTGGAGTACCCATTTGACCTTCAGAAGCTAGAGCTTGGCGGTTCCATCATCTACTGTCACAGTCTTCCACGCAGGTACAGGGAGCATCTGGAACCCAGCGAAACTTACGAGCTGGTCTGGACCGGTACAAAGATTCCTTTGTGGGACTGGGGAGTCCCTAGTGACTATGTAGGGTCCCGCCTGACTGCTAATCCGACACAGCCGGGTTTGATTTTACCGGGAGGCCCAAGTGTTACGTTTACATATGAGCAGATAGAGTCTCCGGCCTTCAGTCGCCGGCAATCCACCCCACCATTACTGCCATCAGACCGTGTGTAGGTCTTTTCGCCCATCCAGGGGCCGGGGTTCCCATCCTCGGCAATTCGAAAGGCTTACACTTTCATCAAACAGACAGGGCACCCCCATCCTGAGCGTAGAGCTCCCCGGTCCGAAGACCATTGTCCCCGAGGGAAAACACTATGCATCGTTGCATGTTTGCTACCATGGTGGCCCCACAGATCAGCCGATAATATTCCGTGACCATGTGATCTGGGAACTGATTCGCTCCTATCGTCTAGAGAGTGGTTTGTGGGAGCTTCAGGAGGGTCCCTGTGGATGTTCTGGGCTTTTAATAGATGATTTTAATATCACGGTCAATGTGGTGGAGGACGAAGGCTTCATTACTATTAAGCCGGGAGAATACTGGAGTCCCTCATGGATAATTATAGAAGACATCTATGGTTGGAAAGTAGGAGATATGTGGCGCTAGCGCTTCAAGGGTGGTACAGTGGACTTGCACTGGAGGTGATGCGAAGGAGGGTTGGCCATATAGAGGAAGGTTGGATTGACCAATAGTCGACAATTGACCTAACCATGTAAAGGTGGGTTTGAATATTCAACGCAAACGGCGTGATATCCCCAGAATGGAAGACGTCATTTGGTATCGTTTGTGGACAAGTGTTTCATTTTGTGCAAAATCCTGTTTCGTTGATGGAGATAATTCGCAGGATGTTGGAATATTCATCTTTAAATTAGGACTTAGTGCCATGCTCTAGTTTGCTAAACGTTCTGCTGCCCGGATTTGACTGGCAATTTGTTTCACATTGCTTGAATCGCAAAATCCCAGCCATGGCTCTCACCTCAATGCCGCTTGTATTCTCGAAGGAGGTGAAGCATTATGATCCAGAAGACTGGTACAGTGAAATTCAAAAAAACAGCCAAGACTACGAATCTTTGCGTATTGCTAGCCTGACTCGAGTCAAAGACCTTGATTCGGATTGGGCACATGAATATGTCGAATTCATTATCCAGGGTCAATTACCAATTGGACGAGCACGTGTATATGCAAAGCGTGGGGTACCGAAGATAAGCATTGACAAAGTCCCCCCCGCGATGAGTGTCAATACCTCCACGTTCGTAAGTCAACAGATCAGTGTTAATCCTTTCACGTTTTGAAGGGGCGCCGTTGATGGGGTCACAATCGGTGTCAATGAATGTGACAAGGAAGGCCGATGGAGAGGCCTTCCCCATGACCTTCCGCTTCCATTGGAGTACTTTGTCTACGCGGACAAAAAGCTTAGCTTCATCAGCTTGGCGAAGACTATCTCGGAAGTAAGCAAAAAAGGAGCCGCATACAAACTTCTGCGCAACAATTGTTACTGGTTTGCCTACACCGTAATGAAAGTCTGGGGAAGCGTACATAAAGAATCCAAGAAGGTGGTCGCTTACAACTTGGGCGGAAGTGGTCAAACGTTGGAGGATCTCTGGTCGTATGGTAAGGCTCTCTGGTATAACAACACCTTTAAGGTATGTGATCGTTCCTACCGCCCTCCCGTACTTGGAAATAATCGCAAATGACTATTCAATTCAATTCAATTCATATTCTTATACCTGATCGAGCCCGCTAAGGAAGATGCTAGCTATGCAGGTGCTTCACCGTTTGAAGCAGGAATATGGCCCCGAACGCCGTCAAATCCCTCAAACTCGCAGTAAACACATAAAACAACGCATGCTACGACGTTCGCAAATGACTAATTCCCCGCCCAGAAAGATGCAAAGGAGTTCGACGATTTGCGAAGAAGTGGGTTTGTGATGGCTGAACTACCTTTGTCTCGTGAACGTACGTCGCCGGTGGAACATATTACCACTTTGAAAAACGTGGTATTGGATCCGAATACTATTGATCGGTACTTGAGAATCCCTCACGAAAACTCTATCTCAGCGGATTAACCTACGGTAGGAGCTGTATACATCGTTCGGTGTGTAAGGTTAATGGCTAATATAATGTCATTCAGGTTGAACTGTACCTTGAAAATGCGAGCGAAAAGGTGAAGAAACAAGAGGAAACGCAGGGGGGGCTGAGATGGACTGAGGAGGTAAGTAACGCCCTGGTACGAGCAAGACTGAAAAAAAAATCTGAACCCTATCGACATTTAGTTCGACGAGAATGTTCGTGAGCTGGAGGAAAATATCGGGAGAGAGATGAGTGACAAGGAGAAAAATGACATGTATGAGAAGATTGAACAGATGGTGTTAAATTCGGTAGGCAAACTGTCCATGTACCGACAATTTGAATGTATGAGCTTACAAAAAGACGACCTTCAGGCACCAGACAGTAGCGGAATCACTTCCAAACAGCTCGGACTCAATGAACCACAGGCCAGACAGCATTACCTGGTGGAAGAACTCCTCGATAGGTTCGCGGCAACGGTTGTAGCGGAAATGGACAATGATTCGGATTAATGAAGAACAGGTCGACAGCATTTCACAGCTGCTAGGCTACTCCTCATCTTCCTGTGGTGAATAGGACCTTCCTTTGCCGCGTTATGTCTTTACCTTGTTTATGAGCTCGGAAGATGCCCTATAGAAGAAGGGTAATAAAATTGGAGTGCAATGCTATCAGGGTTTCTACTTCAATTCAACTCATATTCTTATACCTGATCGAGCCCGCTATATAAGATACTACCTTCCAATGAACTATTTTCGATGTATCGCATTTGGTAGAGCCCATATTGTGCATGCAGAATACTAGTAGTTGCATGGCTGCCACCTCTGATATGGAGGCACGGAAGGTGGACCCGATCCTGGACTTTCCATGTGGGGGAAGGTGTACAAGAAATAGTAACATAAAACCTATTTAATAATATGATTTTTGTTTTATATTTTTATTTAGCATAGCATTATCCTACACTATAGAAGACTTCACTAGATTATAGTAGAATTAATCTATTAGTCTACTATTTTCTAGTATTTATTATTAGGCTAATAAGAAAAAATATAACTATTAAAGCTGATAAATATTAGCAGGACTATCAGAAGTCTATATTAAGAATCTACTATTTTTTTAGGGATATTTTTATATATTGTCAGCTAGAATATACCACTTATTGCGCATTACTGCTGTGGAGGAATGGACTCAGTCTATATTATTAGGTGTCTAGACCAAACTTAACAATCTAAGGATTGCTAGCCCATGATCACGCTGCAGATTTGCTTCCTATAGTAGAAGAGAACCAGGGACTCGGGTGTCCGAAGGGGCAGTCATCGTAGTGCTAGAAACTGCTAGTTTCCTTGGAATGAATCTGTGGAGAAGTAGAACAGTATTCGGCATTGCAATCTCAGCACCAATGATCGTCTTTCCGGGGACGCTGTCCATAAGTAACACCGACAAACGTTGATTTGCAAACACGTGTAGTCCCTTTTTCTCTAGACCAGTCAATATAAACTTGCAGGCTTTTTGGATGAAATAAGGTATCTGAAGTTGAAGAAATTGGCGGAGTTGGTTTAATTACTTAGATACACTACCTGCTGTATGTGAGTTGGTATGCTAATCAAGGAGATTATGAAGCCACCCAAGAGCAATATCATTACTTGTCCAACTCTTTCCACTTAAAGTGATATAGTACAACTCCGGAGTAGCCTCATGCCACACATATTGATTTAGCAGCAAAGATGAGCTGTGGTGGAGCCGCAGTTCTTAAGACACAGATAATCATCATTGAAGGGACCCATTCATGATTACCAGCCTATACAGCCCTTGCACTAATTTCACATAACTTACTATGACATATAACGCGTGCAGCTGAAGCTACAGCATCCGAAAGCCCAGCTCGGCAAACGTTGTATATATCTACCTCCAGAATAAGATTTATAGATATATACTATATTCATATCCTCAACCTGTCTCACTGAAGAGATGAGACCAATTCTGTGCAATCCTGGGAACTCCACGTCTAGCACATTGATGGCCGTGTGTAGGTATATCCTGAATTCAGTTTAGGATTCCATTGTGTACAATGATCAGCCCAGCGCTCACACATAAAAGTGCTCATAGGTGGCTTTATCTTAGCTGGCAAGGTTGACCAGCCAAAGTATCGTACGCATGAAGTTGTAAGTGGGAAACCTCGCTTCTCTGTATTTAGAATCTATCTTTTAAGCATCAAGTCCTTTGTATATGTTGACATTCTTGGACTCCCAAATGATCTACTACTATAGAATCGGTGCTCTACAAGGAATTTCCTAGAGTGCTCATCTTGAAACCTGCTTATCTTGGTATTGAAACCGGCTGCGCACGTGCCTTTGAACGTGGAATTTTCCTTCCAGGAAGTTCCATAGCAATATTAAGATATTTAGCCTGAGATAAAGCTCCTATATCAAGAAGGACAAGTTTTATAGCTTAAAGCGACCCGTTAATGATGTAGGGGTTTTTTTTTTTTAAAAAAAAAAAAGCTGGTTCGGCGTCAGATTACGTTAACTACGGGTGGAAGAGATTGTACGGGTAGTAACTAATTATTGGTCCGTATAGGGCAAATACGAGAGGGGGTTTGACCCACTCATGTATAATCAAAGAAAAGATCCGACGAACCAGGCCTCAGTGATCTAGCGAGAAAAGGTTCGCACCCTACAATGTGCAGGGGATAAATCAATAAATCAATCAACACTATTTGTATCACAGGGCAAGAGGTACGTGCAATAAACTAAAAATACAATCGCGTTGCTAATCCTGAATTTTAGCTCTGTGGATGCTCGGCCAATATTCCGAAAGGGGGTGTAGGTTCTCGTATTCGTATAGGGACACGTTCTGTTGTCATCGAAGCTATGTATCCAATGAAATTGACGAAAATGCATACAATCTGTCAAGGATACAAATCATGGTCCACACAACCCGCAATGGGATATCTCAAGGCTTGCAAAGTTTATCTTTGAGCACGTGAGGGCCCCGCTTCACTGGCCAGAGATCCTCGTCTAAGCACGTGAGTTCATCTCTATGATCGAGTAGGATCATATTGAATTTCTTGCTGCCCTTCCTTCACTAATGCTGGTTATTATTTCTTCTTCTTCTTCTTTTTGTTCTTGCAAGTCCGCACGATGTTCGAAAGGAATGCTGATATTGCAGTATCTCCATTACATTCTATACCTGTAATCAGTGGCACAGGAAAGCTCACCAAGCGAAGTATTCCCAAGGGCGCACATTCAGGAAATTCAGGGGGAGAAATTGCTGAGTATAGTATTTCTATACCTATCAATGTGGCCTCTGAATATTAATTGCTGAGCAGTGATGCACGGACATCGCGAGATAGCACAAGCCCGGAAACATTACCGCCAAGCCCGTCTTATATCACCACAATATTCTATCTGGCATACCCGCCGCCGCATAGCTCCTCTCCTTTTCGCCAGATCAAGCCACGGTTATTACTTCAGCTCCTCCAACAAGCAGCTAGAAAGAATAGACTTCATCCAGTTTTTGAAGTCTTGCTTACAGCGCCAGTGGGGTTACAAAACCACCAGAAAGAGGTCCGCTGTAGATCAGGTGACATAGCCTTGGTCCACGGTGATTATTATAGTGATTGTACTTTACCGGACGGCTCAAGAGCCAGATATTCGGGGGACGAGGAAGATGAGGATGAGCGAGCAGGGAAGATCAAAGTGCTTGCAGTTATTCGAGACCAGCGGAAGAACCATGCAAGACGGGATCATCTAGGACAAGCTGCTGACAATGACAGCGGCCCGGTCAGGTTCTTCTTCAGCTGCGGTGCTATATGGGAAGCCATCACTGCACAAAATGGAAACAACTATCAGTTAGTAGCAGTTGACCCGGGGGAAAGTACGGTCAATGGAGATTTGAAACTGATATCCTGGACACGAGAATGCCCTTCCCATGAAAACGGGGAAAACGAAACACGAAGAGATATCAGATTTCGTCTGAGCATTGTGAATGGGGATTTCCAAGAGTTGCCGATAGTGGCCACTGCTACAATGCAATCCATTCAAATCAGGTTCCAACCCAGGAGACATGACGACCTGAAGTCGCCCTCATCTTGCCGACCCTCGTCATCACTCCCATCAATCAGTAGGGAAAGGGCACAATTGCTCACCACAAGAGACAATCCGTTCGGCTCCCTGGACGTATCAATTTCTGAACCGTTGTATCTCTTGTGTCTTGTTCTTACCTCAGCTGTGTGGGTAGCTTCCAGTGAGGGATGGTTAATTCTGTGAAATTGTAAGGTCACAAGATGAACTTCTTTGGCCCGCGGATTGTCAGCTACGCGAATGGAGCAGACGTGCCATGCTCAGGGGATGGTGTTATGGTTTGCTTCTTGAGCACCTTCTGGGCATCACCAGCGTTCTTCGGGCTCTGTTCAAAATTAAGGTATGTTAACTCCGAAACTTCTACACAACAAAGTCTTCTGGTGATCTGAATGGTGCAGAAACATATCCTGTGACGATTTAGAAAAGCACATAATTCTACCTTGTAGAGGTGCTGAAGTTATGCTTCGCGTCTTGATAAAGAAGGTGACGTATTGTATCCTTCTTCCAATATACATAGTTCTAGCGCGGCTGTTTTTCATTGCATTCGATATGTTCCTATTCCGGTTCACCGAGCGTATTCCTGTGCCAGTCCAGTTGCCACGAAACGGACTACTATGCTTCTAGCTAGTTACTAAATTCATACTTAAGGGTGCACATGGAAGATATAAATTCATGTTGTACCCAACAGTCCACCAACTCTGCCGAACAATATAAAGTCTAAATGTTTGTATCATGAGATTTGTACGATATTAAGGATACATCGGTATGACAAGGCAAACGCAGGATCGAATGGCTTGACATTATACACCAGAACGCAATTGAGTATGATATCACATATCCCTCTCATAACAATCAAGTATAATGGGTATCTCTCCTCATGATAGTCTGCTTCTGTTTCCCGTTGTCAAAAAAGAGCCACCCGGTGCGTTTGAATCCCCTACTTCCGTACAAGGGAAACCCTGCGTCAGTGGCTACCAAAGTAGATGGAATACCCTCTTCCTCGGATCGATCAATTCCCCATTGAAGCAATTTCTTTCCCACCCCTTGCCCCTGGGCCGTTGTCCTGACGGCCAAGACACTCAGATACCATGTCTCAGCTGGTTGACTAGCTTTAGCTGCATCAAGCTCACGTCCAAAGTATTTCAGATTTGACCAGGATATGGATCTTCGCGGTGTGTCCAGAAAGAATGTATAGGCAATTTTGACATCGAGAAAGATCCGTTTCAGCTCTATATTATATATGCAGCCATTAGTTCCAAAGCCGTGTCTGTATTATTAAGCGACGTACTTTTGGAAAAGCTACTCCCTTGCCAGCTTTTTGCTGCATCACAAACGCCAGTCCGTTCCCATACTGCAAATCCTACTATTCTGCCGGGGTGTCTATCCGCGCCCTCAGCACCCTCGTCGGTATCCCGAACCTTGGCCGCGAGGATGAACTTTCCTCTGTCCAAGAAATCTTGCAGTAGAAGATACTTCCATGCCACAACAAAATCTTCAGGATGGTCGCGGCCACCGGGAAAAAACCAACTCATACCAGCATCGTCACGAAAGGCATCTGCTCCGATGTAAGACAATGATTTCAGCTCTTCCAGGGTGGTGACTCGATGTAGAGTAAGAATGGGTGTCATGGATAGTGTTGACTTTGAATTTTTGTCACTGATCGAATATGTATATTTAGGTAAGGTATCTTCCCCTTCAGCCCTCAGAGTCTGTGGTGTGATGGTATATATATTATCGTAGTATGGGCAGCGACTGAAGCCAAGCCCCGAGCACCGAGTTTCCTTGGAGTGGCGCAGTCTAAAGTTTTCCGAATGCCGAAAGCGACCGTGATTCAACAAACCAACGAGCCCATGCCCATGGTGGGTATTGTTTCAACATATGACACGGTGAAGTCATACTGGCCAACTACGACGTGACTCTGTTGCCTGCGTGTCCCAATGCATTGCTAATCCCTGGATAAGATATTCTCACTATATCAGTTACAGCTTATAGAGCAATGTCATCATTTGGCATGAATTTAAATCCTAAAATTTCTATCGCGACGATTGATGACGAGAGCGCCAGCTCTGAGCAAGTCAACTTATGGGACGGGCTGAAATAACCAAGACCTCTGGTCGGAGATAATGGAATCTGAGAAACAATGGATTAGCTTACCCCGGTGTACGAATCCGTCAGACTATGCTGAAGATAGATCAGACAGGACTACCAAGGGAAACACTCCACGCGATCAGAAGACGAGGAGGGAGGCCCACTAGTGCTGTGCCGCTATATGGGAGAAGGTGCAGACAAGTGTTGTAGTTTTGCTGCTTTCATTAAGGCTACGGTTACCTGGATAGCAGGAAGTCTGGGATGTGGACCCAAACTTATCCTGGATATATCAGTACAAGTTCTTATATATCCTACTCCGGAAGTGTTCGCGACTTGCCTGGTCGGTTTTGTCTCCAACTGGATACCAGTGTTTTTGGGCTTCTGGAAGTATGAAAGAAGTGTCTAATATAGTTTCTAACTCTGCCAAAGCAATCATTCGCTTACGCTGACAGGCAGTCGACCACAGCCACGAATTAAACTCTTGGTTCTGCTTCCACTTTTCGAAGGGGACGGGAGGTTTCGGATAATTCTGCGCGAGGCGCTGTCTCGCCGAGGACCGAACCGCTGCGGAGCGCCTTTCTAATCTTAGTGTAAGGCAACCTCGAATGTCTTTCTTTTCTCTCCTCATCACCCAGATATCCGGCCAGCTATGACGGTATGATTGTAGATGATGACCGAACACCTTAATCAAGACTGAATGCCTTCCACTTCCACTTTGCCGGGTTCTCTGTCGCCTGCTACGGCGACTGATCAGAATGAAGGCTGATTGACTGAGGCAAGACCTGCAAGGCCTGCGGCTAGAAGGTGGGCTGCTAGTAAATGTGTCTAAAAATAAATTGCAGACGACGGCTCAGCGCTGGCTTGCATTGCGGCATTAGGCTTCACTGAGCCTGATCCACTGGGGTTGGGCCGCCGCATATGCAGCGGATTAACCAGTTCATTTACTCCTTATGGAAAGTTAGAATTCGGTGGAGTGGGGCATCCAATACTCATTTATAAACTGGTGAAATGATAAACTTCAACTGCGTCGACTCTTATCAATGGGATATAGTTGGTCCATTCGAGGTCAAAAAGGGAAGCCCAGCCAAGCAATGAACAAGAGAACGTAGAACACAAGGATCCCGAATAAAAATTGCTACCAGAGAAAGAAATCGCACATTCGACCAGAAACCTACTCATTGGCAAAATACCACCAGTACGCACCCAACAGCTTCCTTTCTTCAATATGGTTGTCCCTGTCCAGCTTCTCATGCGGACAATGAGCACCATCGTCCGACCTGCCAACGGGAAGCAGCATGATACTTTTATCGTGACCCAAGGCTTTCTGTATATCCAGCGTTACGCCGATACTATCGTAATGTAGCCATTAGTGATACTGATCTGAGTGTAGCAAAAGAGGGGAAGCAGAAAGCAAAGAAGTAGGTAGGGAACAAAAACCAACCTTCCACTTTCGCGAGTCAGATCTGGCTTCGTGTTATATACTCTGTTTGTTGCTGCTCTTCCCGCCGCGAATTCTGAGTCCTCTGTATTTGCGACCCAGTACGGTGCAGATTCACCAAATTGTTTCACTTCACACGTATTCGTACTACCTAGCTTCTTAAACTCCTGCTCTAGGTAGTGCACCATCAGAGCCGTGACCGCTTTACCTTCCATGGTTGGCACTGTCCGGATGGAGAACTTCCCAGTCACCTTAGAGTAGATGGCTGTTGTCTGATTTGGGCTGGGATCTGCACCGTTGATACCATGGATCGTGATAGAGGGGTATCTCCATCGGTGCATTAGAGTGTCCTTGGCGGTGGCGTATATAGCTGCCTCGCTGCCTATAGTGCTACGGAATTCATCCATATCGAAGTCAATGTCTTCGTATTGGGCGATCTTATCCGGTGTAACGTCATCGACCAGCCCGTTGATTCCGGGGATCAGGATGTTGCCATTCGAGTCGGCTAGCTTGGACAGCATAATCACGAGTTCGGTCATTGGCTCGTGGACCGTCCCTCTATATATACCGCTATGGAGGGGCACAGGCCCATGTCCCGCAAGGGCTTCTGGGCGATTGTTATGGTGAAATAGTTGATGTCTCGAAGGCCGTAAGTGAGACAAGGCTTTCTGGTAGTAAGCCAGTAGTTGTCGGAGATGCAAGCTGCGCCAACCTTGGTGAATATGTCCTTGTGTTCCTGCGCAAATTCTGAGAACCTAACTGAGCCAGACTCTTCCATTCCTTCAAAGCAAAATCGCAGATTTACTGGGACGTCGACTTCCGCTTTTTGGTAGGCCTCAAGGGCACTCAGCCAGGCGAGCACGGGACCCTTGTCATCAGTTGACCCACGCCCATATATATTCTGTTTCGCTAAGATATCCCCTCAAATTACTTATTCGCTAGTGACGCAAGCGAATGCTGAGAGAAAGGATGGGGAAGAGGAATATATAAGCAGAAATAGCAACTTTCTTCAGTGTGTCTGAAAAGGTAGTGGTTGTACCAGCGATAGTAGTAGGCTTAGTAAACCTGCGCACATCCATGTAGGAAGATTATTATCACCAATTGTTCGACAAGTCTCTAGTTGTTGTACTGAGGCATTGTCAATTCTCACAGTTGCAGTATCACCATGCTAGCACAGCAATTTCAAAGGGGGGATGTTGCAAACCGTAGGAGTCGCAACCCAACTAAACAAGAAAGCCACATATACTGAATAAATCTTGTATATTTCCAGGTATAACTTACCGTGTTTCATTGAAGATTAGCCACAGCCAATGATTTTCAAAACGCCAATACGGGCATAGTGAACGATTGCTCTGTTCGAGGACATCTGCTAACTAGGTTGATGTCCCGTATACGGCCCACCCTGTTGACATATATCGATGCAGGAAGCGGAGCCATCAGTGCCATCGATGCCTGGACAGTGCACTCAATTAAAATACGCATACGATACCCGAATGTAGGTCTAATACTGGCATATATAGATAATTGTGTCCTGGAAATTGTTCAATGCCGGCCCCAAAAATGCACAGATAACAAGCTGTTTTCCAGACAGCCATAAGTATATATTGGCGGGAAGGCTAAACAAATACCATGGTATATATTGGAGTGGCAAGCGTTACACTCTATAATGATTGTTGGCTGCAAGCGGACGGGAAGGCTAACCAAACTGAGGGGTATAGAACTGGAGTTGCCAGAGTTGCATTCTGTATTCATTATTAGCCGCAAGCGGAAGTAAATAGTATTTAAGAATTGGAGTCTAAAAGAATCTAGATGCTATAACGGACAAAGGCTTTGTTGAACAGATGATATCACATTTATTTTCACTTCTGGGAAAGGAAATCACATGTGAAATGTCCTTGGTCCAGACACCGGCATTCCGATCTCATTAACGGTCGAGGCCATCCTCCAGCGTCAGTATATCTGTTCTATAGGGCTCATTTGACCCGTGGAACCAGTCGTATAACTTCGTTTTGTCTAGTCTTGTGCATCATGACTTCGGGAAGTTCGGAGGCGTTGTGTCCTGATAGAGAGAGCTGATGTATAAGTAGCGCATCCAACAACTGCTTATGTCTGAATTAGTCCTCAATCCTTCTTACCAACTAGCCTGTCCTGTACTCTCCTTTCGTGTACCCGACTTCTCTACATACCAAACTTTTAAACCGTCATGCCGAAATACAGCCCTATTGTCCAAGAGCTCCGCGACGAGCTACTCTGGGAAGTAGATGACCTCGAGCAGGCGGTCAAAAATGCTCGTAAATGGGATATCCCCGAGCTGGACAAGTACGGCATCATCTCAGCAAGAGGATTTCTTGACTTTGCCGACTGGCTTATCCGAGGTTGGGTTCCTACCGAGTCGACCAAAGGCCGGGACATCTACTACATCCTTTGTGTTTTCTACTTTGTCCTTTCCCAGGAGCCATTGGGCGGTCGCCAGACAAAAATCCACCCGCTAAGTATCAATAAGCCGCTGAAACCCCTGTCAGACTGGGTGGTTCGATTCGCCAAGGAAATCGGCACTAGTATGGACAAGCCTTCGTCCATCAACGAGGCTGCAATAACGACCTTTCGGAACTCTCCTCTCTTCCGTGTCTTCGAATCTGAGGGTGACTCCAAAAACTGGACTTCGTTCAATAAGTTCTTTTATCGAAATCTTGACAGCCCACGTGAAGTAGACAGTCCAGATGACGATCATATTGTGACCTTCCCTGCTGATTCCACTTTCGCTGGCGCATATGCCATCAGCGATGATTCTGAAGTGGTCTTGAAAAAGAAAGAGCACAGAATTGTAAAGGACGAGGTTATTCTGAAGAATGTCCCATGGAGAGTAAGAGATCTTCTGGGTGAATATGGAGACCAGAAAGTTCCTGGGGATGACTCTCAAACCTACGGAGAACTTTTCAAAGATGGACTTTGGACTCATGTCTTCTTGAATTCATTCGACTACCATCGCCAGCATGCACCAGTCTCGGGGACTGTGGAAGTAATCGACGTCATCCAAGGAGCGGCCTACCTCGAGGTGCTGGTGAAGACCGATGAGCAGGTTGGCCACAACTATTTAGAGCTCTCCCGCAACATCGGGGAAAAACCAAAAGATCCCTCTGGCTTCCACACACTCGATGCTCCGGACACTCCAGGCTATCAGTTCCTTCAGACACGAGGAGTGGTAATTATTAACAATGAAAACTTGGGCAGAGTTGTTGTCCTGCCCATTGGCATGGCCATGGTTTCTTCTGTTAACGTGAAGTCGGAGCTTAAGGGTCAGAAGATCAAGAAGGAGGATGAAATCTCGCACTTTGCGTTCGGCGGCTCGGACTGCATCATTATGTTCGAGCAAAAGGCAAGAGCCTCGGGCTTCCCGGACTCTGACCCGGCTTCTCGCGAGCATTTCTTCTACGGTGAAAAGTTGTGCAGGGCCTATTACAAGGAAATCAAAGAACCGAAGGGCTTCGGGTCCCGATTTGGATTGGTTTCCAGATAAGAAATTTCATGCGGGGCCGTGGGAACCTATGAAGAGGGTCTTTTGGTAACAGGTGAATGAAACGTTATGTACCGTCTCTACTTTGATCTGTACTGAAGCTGCAAAGTTGTTACAAAAGTATTTTGTCCATTCTCGCAATTTATTCTTCAATGTTCTCTTCTTTAGTCATTAGTATAACTGGTAATCACTGAATTCGTCTAACCCGTTATATTAGGGTATTAATTGCGATGTGGCTTTACTACAAATATACTGTTGACTCAATTAGCAGTTTTTGTCTCGATTTTACAAAAGTACATGTTATGAAACTCTACTATTGAAGGTGGACGACCTGTCAACTAGGCTAGAGCACCTCGGTGAACTGCCCAACATGTTAGACGTAGAAGATTCCTATCTCGTTTACTAGGTATCAACAAGCTCCTTACAAAGTTTCACTATGAACTGGATGTTTCAGTGACTGCCCGCTCCTCTATATGTGATTGTATGTAAACTGGGTCAACGCGGAATACCCGCACTGTAATGCTTAAATACTAGCCTTTCAAGCTATCCGCACTCTCAACAGCAATATCTAGCATCGTTCTTCAATCGACTTGTTTAATTGGTTCGCTTAGTACTGATGGAGATTCCCTCCCTCTGCGGTTGTCTCCGCAGATGTTGACAAGACTGGCATTTGCATTTTGTTTCCTTTCTGCAGCCTATTGGAGGCCTCGTTTCTTGTTTCTTCTCCCTCGTCCTTCCATAGATGTCGTAGCGCAGAAGGTTGTGCCCCTCATAGACTTCCGCATCAAGTGATTTCGTCGGGAGTTGTTGAGGAATCAATCTTATTTACTGCTGGTAACTCTATTATTTCATAATGCTTTGTATAACAGATAGTCGCTTTCATGGAGAGCATAAGTACCCCTCCATACAGGTGTTACTTCAATCCCCTCCACAGTTGGCGCATTTCTTTCCTAGGCATTTAGAAACCTCCTCAACAAAAGCACACTTCGCCCGTTTCAGTGAACCAAACGAATAGGAATATACAAACAGGTCCTCAATTGTTCTCCTGGGCTTTGAAGTACAAAGCAGGTTTTTCGCGAGTAGCGGTCTTACAGCACAAGTGACATGATCTCGGACACTACAGTGCATAATAGCTTTCTTGAAGATGATTACAATGAAACAAATGCAAAACACTGACATATTTGAGAGGTTACATTCCTCAAGTAACTCAAAGGGTAAGCTAGGCGTTGAGGCCATTCCATTCCTCGTATCGCAGTTCGATGTAGTGCTAAACATTCAATTTCGTTGATGAACATGAGTAGACAGGAATGCTAACCCAAAATACCAATGGGCAGTATCATATTGACCGCGTCGATAATACTTTTCTCCAATTCGATATATTCCTGTCTTCCATCGCGGGACCCCTTTGCCAGGATGTCTAGACTAATCCGTGTGTCCCACCCAGTCGGGTGGACATCTGAAGGCAAGACCTGGCTTGGGTTTCCCTCAGGAACTCTATCTTTAAGAGAAGGGAAGTTTTGCCGAATGGTGTTGACCACAAGCTGTGGTGATATGAGTCCTGCAATGAGAAGAACGTGCTGGTTTGCCGCTGCCGGGTTTTTGAGGGCATCGACATGACTACGGGCAACGTCACGGACATCGACCTGAAACTGCAGTCAGTCCTCTGCTTCTATGCAACGAACCTCTTACCGATGCCTTGAAACATACGAAATGGTAAAATAGAAATGTAACGCCTTCGATTCGCTTGTGAGTTCCATCATTGAAGCTTGCGATCGCGAAATGTTTTGTTTCATTGATGGACTTTGGTCCATGTATAGGGTGAATCATGGGCCCGGTGATGATATCCGGATTTATGCCGGTCAAGTCAAATCCTGGTTTAGCCTTTTCCATAAATTGCCACGCAGCTGCCTCAGCGCGAGTGTTGGAGACGTTATAGCCCGGGACGGTGCCATTCCGTGCGACAGCTTGCTCAGCGGTCGCCTGGATGGGTGTCAAATCGCAGGCATATATCCTCCTTCGAGGCACTAAATGGATTCCAATCTTTCTCCGTATAGGGCCTTCCTTGTCTAGGTAGATCTTCAAAGGAGTTTAGCACCGAGACAGCACTACCAAGAAGCACGAATCGTCTCAGGGACGGACCCCCAAAGTGATGTGCTGCTCGCAATATCTCCGTGGTTCTGAATTTTTGAATGAGTGCTCGTCTGGAATAAACATAGCTAGTAGTGGTTGAGCTCTCCGAAGGGATAATAAGTGAGGCCTCCCTATGGTGGACATAGTGCGGGAGAGAGAAAGGTTTCTAGGATGCATAACCGATGTGTGGCCCTTGTCTTTTGGCATTGGATCTTGATTAAGTCTTAAAAGCTTGATAACATATGGCTAGTCGGGGCACTGCATGTATCTCACAGTGAATCAAAGACCCTGGTTATTTGGCCTTTAACAGGTTGAAACCTATGACGGCCGAGATAGTAGATGGATTTACTCCGAAGGTTACAGTCTCCATGCTTCTCGTATTTCCAATTGTGACAACCAGAGTGGCCGAATTCCGGTGGCAAGGGGATTGATGGGCTAAGCGCAGTCTGCGGTGCTCGAAATACCATCGTCTGGTTTCAAGTTCGATGAAGCATTAGCGCTGGATTTTTGTGTTAGTATCTCCCGTAATACTTAAAACTTCAGTCCGTAGCCAAGGCTGGCCCAGAAGGTCGGTGGTATACGGGGGGGAAACTGGCATATTTACCTCTTGCCATACGTTCCCTTCCAGAGAACGTAATACTTTTACAATCATCGAGACTCATATCATCACCATCGTTATTGGCCCATTCTCTAGACAGACATTTCTCTAACATGGTCATAACGCACGAGTTCGGAGGATGAGCCGAGACCTCCGAAGAAATAAGATGTCATCTCCGCCAATTTCGTAAGAGACCAAAACTAGCAGGATCGGGTTCCTCGGATTCCTTGTGGGTCACAACTCAGGTGATTACTAAGAAACGGCGCTAGGGTCATAGTCATCTTCGGAAATCTCCCATTGCATGTATTTTGCTTCTCGATTGATGCGCTAGACGGCAATCGCATCTGTCTACCTGTTGACCGATCATCTCTTGGACAATGCCAGCCAGCTCTACTGACATGAGTCGCAGAGGATCGCGTGAATTCAAAGCCAGGGGACTTCCGAAAAGTTCCAAGTTGACAGAGAATATTTTCATCAAGCGCGTGGCCCATTGGTTGCTGCGGAAACAGATAGGTATCATCCATATTCTTCTATTGCTGTTCCTCTCCAAAGGCCTGCCACTGACGGCGCAACACCGGGAATAGACATTTCATTCCAGCTGGTTGTTTTCCTCCTTCTCACACATCTTGGTGTACCCGCTCTACGACCATATACGTCGAAGTTCTTCAGGCTATCTTACTGTAACCAGAGCACCGAAAAGTATGGAATTGGATATGATGACCTCTACTTTATAGCCTTCTGGATTATACTCCTCACGGGTCTAAGGGCCAGCTGTATGAAGTATATTCTTGCTCCGCTTAGCCGACGGTGGGGAGTATCAAAAGCCAAAGATGCCACTCGGTTTGCGGAGCAAGGATGGATATCCTTGTATTACAGCATGATGTGGACACTAGGCATGGTATGTTGACCTTCTGTTCCCAGATATTCAGGGATATACGGGATTGACCTGCGACAGTACCTCTATTATAAGTCACCGTATTTCCTCAACATGGAGGAGCTGTGGACCGAATGGCCTCAGAGGGAAATGGACGGCCTGGTTAAAGCATATTACCTGGGACAGTTGTCTTTCTGGATTCAGCAAGTGCTAGTGATCAACATCGAGGACCGGCGGAAAGACCATTGGCAAATGCTAACCCATCATTTCGTAACAATCAGCCTTATGGCAACCTCGTACGTCTATCACCAAACCAAGGTCGGACACTTGATTCTAGTGCTCATGGACGTAATTGATCTCTTTCTGCCAGTATGTTAGCCAAGGACCAATAACGATAAAGTGGCTGACAACGGGAAAAGCTAGCAAAATGTCTTAAATATCTAGGCTTCACCACAATCTGTGATATCCTGTTTGGGCTTTTCATTGTATCGTGGCTCTTTGCGCGCCATCTGCTATTCTTGATTACTTGTTGGAGTATCTATACTGATTTCCCCCGAATAGTCCCACCCGGGTGCTATCGGGGAACTGCAAAAGATCTTCAGGGACCGTTTCCAGTTCCAGAGAACTGGGGGTATTTGATCGAGCCTTTTTATGATCCAGCAGGAACAGTGTGTATGAACAATACCATCATGTATAGCTTTCTATCATTTCTTCTCCTGCTTCAGGTCTTGATGGTCATATGGTTCGCAATCATTGCGCGGATCGCCATACGGGTGTTGGAGGGCAGGAGAGCAGATGATCCTCGAAGCGACGGTGAACAGGACGAACTAGTGGAGAAGGAACAAAGGAATAACGAAGCACCCCAGGGGTCGGCCAAGAATATCAGCGGAAATGCGGTAAGCCAGGACAGGTGGCAACAACACACCGGTGGACGCCAGCGGCGTGCTCTTCGCCAGCCCCCAGGTTCGGGAGGAGCCGCATAATCGGAACAGACGCAATAAGCGGATTAACGAGCCGCTCAGTGAGCCAGGGCATTGAACAGGTTGGACTCAGGTCTCTATGAATTCGACCCTTATTTAAATTATTCAATGTTCACATACTTGACTACATATATATGTGGGTTTATACCCCAGAAGTATTTGAGCCCGTGCAGTACTAGTACTGTGATACATCTGGCGAGAATTAGATTCAAGAACAGTTGAAAGAGGAAAGGACAGAAATAAAGCCAACATTTCAATTATATTAGTTAGTCTCGAATATGTATACTCGGGCTTGGACAGGACACTCTAGCCAGTGTGGTTTATGCATTGCTCGGGTCAATTACAGTGATTGCATACTCATTCTTCGGTAGATTGGTTATAGCCCGCAAAGGCCCGCTTTCCTGACGAGACCTAGCGGCACATGTCAGGACTGAGAAACAGCCGGAAGTCATATATTGTAAATGGATTGATTGACTTGGTGCGTGCCTCAACCGAACACCCTTCTGGATTCGCGTACCCGGTCGTTTGACCGGTACTAATCCAGGCAGTGAATCCGGCGCGAGGACAAGGGAACCCGATCGGGTGTATGGGTCGCCAGGTCGCCAGGCCGTACGTATTTCTGGTTCTTACCAGTAGCGGACCTGGTTAATACCAGTAATGGCTATTGGAAAAACTAAGCTGTAAAAATACATTATCTTACCAGATAGTAAACCTAGCGAGCTCATGTATTTATCGTATTTTTATCTAATTTTTATTGAAAATTCTAATATTTTTTAATATTAATTAATAAATTATAACCTGGTAAGCCTTAATTATAGATTACTGTATATAAATCAGAATTTATTAATTCTATTTTCAATATATTGAACTGGAATCTTTAATAATATTTTAATTATTTATCTTAAAAATTATTAATTATATTTAGTTATTTCTAATTTTTTCTAATAAACTTATATTTTACTAATATATTTTAATATAAATGGAAGCCTTGTTCAGTATTATTAAATTTAACTAGTTATTTGTAATTATAATATTTAATATATATATATATATATATTATACAATGGACTCTTTTATTATGTGATGGCGAGCGGTGTTACTCCTGGATAAATTTACTGAGTGATATAAATTTAGAAAAGTAATACCACTGCTTTCCGAAGAAAGAGTAGATGATACAATATTACAGATATTAGAATTTTTATGCTTATTATGATATAGATACTATTATGATATAGATACAAGCTAGTCTTTAAAGATCTTTAAGGATGAAATTATTTATGAAAATAGTGATTATAGAAAGGGTTACTACATATCATTTTTTACCGCGCGGGGAAGCTGATATTTGGGTAATAGTAAAGTCCAGTATCAGAGTTTATTATAAAACTTAAGGATAGAAAATTTATTATATAAATAGTATGAATGGAGAGACTTAGAAGATGAATATAGTTTAGAAAGAGATGATATAGTCTGAAATTTTTAAAATATAAGCAACATATTTCATGAAATGGAAGAATCGGGAGCCTTTAGTAGGATTAAATGTAAATATTCAGATCTGGAAATGAAGAGTAGGGGTGGGACCAGTATAATAGAGATATACAGGCGGGGATTAGGGAACAGGATGTTATATAGAAAGAAGGTTAAGTAATAGGAGAGTTGTACAGCTGATGAGATTATTGAATAGTATTACTGTGATTATCGCGGATTCTTATATATTCTCTCAACAAGACAGCCTTGGATATTGGAAAGTATAGTGAACTGAAATTCTCTTATCTTAGAATTTCTTCTGTTACCGCTGAT